AATGAATGAATGAAAGGTGGTGGCAGCATCCAACAGTGTAAAAAGCATGAGCTTGCTGTCAGACAAGTGTGGGTTTAACCCACCTCCCTCACCTGCTGGCTGCGTTACCTGAATCAAGTGGTGTTCCTTCTCTAAGCCTCACTTTGCTTACCTGAAAAATGAGGACAGATGTGCCGGTCGCAAGGGGGGCTGTGAGGATTAAGTCAAAGAATGCATATACCTACAGCACCTAGGATGACACCAGGCACAGAGAAGACAATAAAGGGAAGCTGTCATTATAACATACATGATTAATAAGTAAGTATATATAATCTTAGAAACAGCATTTCTGAACTGATCATGTAAGCCAGGAACAAGGATTCAAATTGCAAAGCTTTGATTTGCACAGAATCCTTCAAGTTCACAGTCAATGTGCAAAGTGAGATACATCTTGTCTGTATCTGAGTCCAGATGTCTCCCACTGAATGGTATCAGATGCAGCAGGTGGATGGATTAGAGAAACAGTCCAGGCACTATAATTAGGTCCCCACAGACAAAGAAAATATATAGTGCAGTAGGAACAGCTGCAGACAGACAAGAGTTAGAAAAAGGCCTCCCCTCAAACTATTTTTATATGATGAGGGACAATGGCCAGTCTCCTGTGCAGAAGCACAGTCTGTGGCAGTCAGTGTCCCATTGCAGGATTCATTAGCCACGCTAATGAACCAATTGTTCATTCCTGGAAGTATTCAGACTGGCATTTCTAAACAGGCTGGCTTATTGATCATCTGTCTGACACCGTTAACAAGGAGAGACTCCAGACAAAAAAATGTTCTGGTTAACAAGTCCCTCTGGCCATTCCCAGGGTGCTCAGAGAAATAGGGAGGATTAAGTTGTTGAGAAGTTAGGAGTTCTACTAGTTACTGTCAGTGATAGAAGGTGAAAAACAGAAAATCCAGCACCTGAACTAGTAATGCAAATGAGGAGGAGCGCGGAGTATTTGTATCACTATCACCATAGACTACTATTGGTGGGGTGTCCATGGCCTTCCTTGCCCCATCCCAGGCCTCATGAACAGTTGTGTCCTCTCCCCATTCAGAGGAAGCAGGAGTGAAGGGGGAAGGTACACACAATCACATCTCCACTGATAGTTCACACTGGATACTCTTTGCTTAGGGAAAGGGATAGGGAGCAGGGTCTGTGTCGGGCACTAAGAATATAACAAATAACTCAATTAAAAAATGGGCAAAAGATCTGAGTAGACATTTTTCCAAAGAAGACATACGAATGGCCAACAGGTACATGTGAAGATGCTCAACATCACTAATCATCAGGGAAATGCAAATCAAAACCACAATGAGCTATCACCTCACACCTGTTAGAATGGCAGTCATCAAAACGACAAGAGATAACAAGTGTTGGTGAGGATGTGGAGAAGAGGGAACCCTTGTGTGCTGTTGCTGGGAATGTGAATTGGTACAGCCTCTATGGAAAACAATATGGAGGTTCCTCAAAAATTAAAAAAAGAACTACCATATGATCCAGCAATCCATTTCTGGGCATATATCTGAAGAAAATGAAATCACTGTCTTGAAGAGATATCTGCACTCCCATGTTCATTGCAGTATTATTCACAATAGAAAAGATAGGTATTCATTGATAGATGAATGGATACAGAAAATATGGTATACACACACACACATACACACACAGTGTGTACATTATTCAGGCAAAAGAAGGAAATTCCGCCATTTGCAACATGGCAGTGAAACATTATTCAGGCAACAAAAGAAGGAAATGCTGCCTTTTGCAACATGGATGAACCTGGAGGACATTATGCTAAGTGAGGTAAGCCAGACACAGAAAGACAAACACTGTATGATCTCTCTTATTTGTGGAATCTAAAATAGCCAAATTCATAGAACCAGAGAGTGGAATGGTGGTTGCCAGGGAGTGGTGGAAATGGGACAATGTTGGTCAAAGTGTGCAAACTTTCAGATGAATAAGTTCTGGGGATCTAATGTACAGCGTGGTGATTATAGTTAATAATACTCTATTTTATACTTGAAATTTGCTAAGAGAGTACATCTTAAGTGTTACCACACACAAAAAAATTGTTGCTATGTGAGGTAATGGATGTGTTAATTAACTTGATTGTGGTAAGCATTCACATTGTACATGTATATTAAATCATTGTATACCTTAAAAAATCGTGTGTACTATCTAAATATACACAATTTTTATTTGTCAATCATGCCTCAATAAAGCTGGAAAAAAGAGAATCTGCTTAGTGTCAGGGGCCTCGAAGTTCAGCCACCCCTCCCTGTGCCGCCCAGTCTGGAGTGAGTAAGGCTCATCTTTCATGACCCTATTGGAGGTGCTCTGGTGACAACCGCATTCCCCACGGCCATCTGCCTGCTGAACGGTTAAGATGCCTTGGCTTTCCAAAGAGTGTAGCTTAACAGACAGATGGAACCAAAGCTTTAGTCGAGAACTTTGGATGTTTGTATACTTGCTTCTGGAGTTGAACATCTATAAACTCAGAAAAATGGGTAATCTCTTTAGTAAAATTCATACGGCACATAGAAGTCATGTGGATTAACGTGTAAAGACCTTTGAGAAGGGCTGTTACAAAGCTTTTTTTTTTTTGGGGAGTGAGGAAGATTGGCCCACAGGCAACATCTGTGCCCATCTTCCTCCATCCTGTATGTGGGACGCCGTCACAGCATGGCTTGACGAGCGGTGTGTAGGTCCATGTCCAGAATCCGAACCTCCAAACCCCGGGCCACCGAAGTGGAGTGCATGAACTCAACCACCATGCCACCAGGCTGGCACCTGTTACAAAGCTTTTAATTCTGTTTTTATTCAGCTTTGCTTCCTAAGATTTTCTCACTAAAATGAAATGTGACTAAGATAAAATAATTTGTATTTTTCAATTCATTTATAAATAAATGAATAAATGATAACAAAGTAGATAGAATTTCACATGGAATGGTGTGTGTTGGTGTTTTATAAGGTACGCATGTTCTGACTTCCCCTCTTTCTCTCTTCACCAATGTTAGTGAAGGATAATCAGTATCCACTCATGAGGTCATTCTGAACTCCTCCTCTTCCTAGAGGTCTGCCCTCTTCTTTCTCCCCCACAACCAGCCCACCCTGCCCGTCTCCTCCCTCTGTCACCGATCTCCAGCCACGGTCCGTAGCTCTGCCTGGGAAGCCCCTTGTAGGTGTCTTTGCCTGGCTCACCCATGCATGTTCCTAAGACTCGGCTTGGGGTCGCCTCTAGGAACTCATCCCTCGGCCGGGTGGGTTAGAGGCCCTTCTCTGGGCTCCAGCAACCCCGTGCACGTCTCAGTTCTGTCCCTTCTGGCTGCACTTTCATCCCTGTCCCTTTCTCTTGTCGGGGAACACCCGACCCGAGGAAGGGATTTGGCCTGTTTAACTCATTAGTCCCAGGTCTTGGCACAGGGCCCAGCACACGGTACGTCCCCTTCACGTGTGCCTATTGAACCAATCACCTTTTGTTGTTTGTTTTCTTACTGCTGGCCTTGCTGCCCCTCTGTCTTCCAGAGGATGTCTTTCATCCCACCTGTCACCCCTCATTCGGGAAGCTTCAGTGGGTCTCCTTATCCAAACCAGAGCTCCCCAAACTTACTAGACCTGAGAACCCTTCTGACCAACATAAGCCCTCTTGCTTTCTCTGCCGTGCCCTTGGCAGCATGAATTCACAGGTGGGGCTGTTCCTCCTTGTCTGGTACTGCAGGCCCCACTAATAGCCCAACAGCTTGAAGTTTGCTGAACCGATTCTCTAGGCCCCAGGCCTTTCTTTCTCCTCCTTGCTGTTGCAGGTGAACCCATATGTGTAAAGGTCCCCTTCACTTCTTCAGGCACACTTTGGTGCTTCTCCTGGGCCAGGCACTGTGTGGGCAAACCCATCAAAGCAATTACTTTATTCCTTTATACTTTCTTTTTTTTCAATTACAATGTAATAACAAACTAACTGAATTAGTTTCAATAGTTTGTGTCTTTCTCGGACATTTTCCGTCTCATCATCTTGATGTAAAAAAGTTAATATAAAATGAGGAAGGCAGAGCTCCCTAACTATCCCCCCCAAGTTCCTCATTGGATGATCTTTACAGCCTTGTCAAAAATCAGCTGACCATAGATGTATAGGTGTAATTCTGGATTCTTACTTCTGTTTCATTAATCTATATGTCTGTCCTTATACCAGTAGAATACTGTTTAGATGACTGTAGCTTTGAAATTGGGAAATGTGAGTCCTCCAGCTTTGTTCTTCTTTTTCAAGATTGTTTTGGCTATTCAGGGTCTCTTGCAATTCTATATGATTTTTAGGATCAGTTTGTTTCTTCAAAAAAGGCAGTTAGAATTTTGATAAAGATTGTGTTGAACCTGTAGATCAGTTTGGGGACTATTGCCATCTTAACAATAGTAAGCCTTCCAATCCATGAACATGGGATGTCTTTCCATTTATTCAGGTCTTTAATTTCATTTCAATCCATCAACATGGGCTGTCTTTCCATTTATTCAGGTCTTTAATTTCATTCAGCAATGTTTCATAGTTTTCAGTGTACAAGTCTTATACCTCTTTGGTTACTTTTATTCCTAAGTATTTTATTCTTTTTGTTACTACTATAATGGAAAC